AGCAAAATCAGATGCTAAGCTCTACATCTTCAAGCAGGCACAGGCAGTAAGAGAGCAACTAGAGATATGGCAAGGCTTAAGAACTCTTGAAGCCCACCCCCCATGATATGCTTCCTGCAGGATAGCCACACCTTCTAAAACCTCCCAAAGCAGCGCCACCATCTGGGCTGTTAAATGCCCAAATACTTGGAGCCTATGGGGGACATTTTATTCAAACCACCACATTCCACCCCTTGGCCCCCATAGGCTGATGAGTGTATAAAATGCAAAAGGTATTGAGTCTAACTTTCAAAGTCCCCATAGTCATTATTCAGAAGTCAATAGTCCAAAGTCTTTTCTGAGACTCAGGTAAATATTTTAACTGCAAGCCTCTATAAAATAAAAAGACAAACTACATGCTCCCAACATACAGTGGAACTGAATACACATTACCATTCCAAAAGGGAGGAATGGAGGCATAATAAGGAAATACTGGACCAAAACAACAGCAAAAACCAGCAGGACAAACATCAAATTCAGTAGCTCCATGTCCAACTTCTGGAACTTTACTTCCAAAGGGCTTAGATGGGTCAGCCTCTCTAGCTTTGCTGTATGCAATGAGTGTCTCTCTCTTGTTTCCATGTCCAACTTCTGGAACTTTACTTCCAAAGGGCTTAGATGGGTCAGCCAGCTTTGCTGTATGCAATGAGTGTCTCTCTCTTGTGCTGGTACCACTCCCTGTATGTAGGTCTTCTTGGAAGATGCCTCACAGCTCTGGCATCACAAATGTCTTCTTGGGGGTCTCCATTGCCAACCAGGCTTCACCTTCACAGCTTCACACAATGGCCTATCAGGGCCTTCCTAGGCATGGGCACCCCTGCTGCATGCTGCCTGGCCTCAGTGGCTCTCTGAAACCAAGGAGGAAGAATTGATGACCCCTTCACTCTTGCATCTTTCATGCCTCTAAAGCCAGCACCTGGTGAAGGACACTGCCAAGTTTGACTGCAAGTTTGGAATGGACTCTACCCTGCTTTATTCATTTTAGAAGTTTTTCTCCTCATGGATCCTGCAACATTTTTCTTTCACAAATTGGAGTCTTTACTGTGTGTGGTCTTGCCCTGGAGGCATTCTCTCCATTGTTTAAATCCAAATCTCTAGGCCCCTCCTTACTCACTTTAATCTCCTTAATCAATATAATCTCTTTATCAATGGAATCCTCTCCATCATATGCCAGGGCTCCAAAATTAATCTTCCTTGTGCTCTTTTTCAATCCATCCTGTACATTCTATATTTATTTCTGCCTCATTTGCTCTTTTTCACTGTAAATCTGTACAATATTCACCATTAACAGCCATGCCACCATTTCTACATTATGCTGTCTTAAAATTTCTTCTGCCTGAGAAATTAGTCCATGGTTTTTCAACTTAGCCTCAGGCAAGCTTTTTGGCTGTGGGCAGATTCCAGCCATACTCTTGCCAAAATATCCCAATTGCTGATTAAGTCCTTATTTACCTCTGGAACTACATTGTTCTCAGCACTACTTTCTTCCAGGTGCCCACTAGAATGGCCTGTTAAGCTCTGTTTACAGGAATCAAGCACTTTTCTAGTCCAACATTCCAAAGTCTTCCATGTTCTTCCAAAACTCCACATGGTCAGGGTCTTCACAATCAACAGCCCACTCTCTGGTACCAATTACTGTATTAGTCACTTTTCTGTTGCTGTGATAGAAACACTGACCCAAGCAGTTTATAGAAGGAAGAGTTTATTTGAGCTTATGGTTCCAGGGGAATTACAGTCAATCATGGCAAGGAAGCATGGTTGCCAGAGATGGCTGAACAGAATCAGAAGCCAAGCTCTACATCTTCAAGCAGGCACAGGAAGCAAGACAGCAAGAGATCCTTGCCTAGAGATCCGGCAAGGCTTAAGAGCTCTGTAAGCCCACCCCCAGTGATATGTTCCTCCAGGATAGCCATACCTTCTAAGACCTCTCAAAACAGCACTACCATCTGGGCTGTTAAATGTCCAAATACTTAGAGCCTATGGGGGACATTTTCAGTCAAACCACCACACAGTCATGCGTGTAAAATAAAAATAAACAAATACTTTTAAAAAATCAAGTAGTCTAAAATTAAATCAGAAAATACAAGGTCCAAAATTTTAAAAGTGAAACCAAAAAAAAAAAAGATTTTAAAATTATTTATATATTTATTACTTCTTAAATTTTATTCCTTAGGTGGTAGAGAGATGGCTCAGTAGTTGAGAGCACTGACTGCTCATGCAGAAGACCCAGGTTTGATACCCAGCACCCACATGTGGCTACAAACCGTCCTCAACTCCACTTCCGGTGGAATCTGAAGCTCTCTTCTGACCTCCGCAGCATTGCATGACATGGGTGTACTCACATACAAGCAGGCAATACACTCATACACAGAAAATAAAAATAATAAAATAAAATATTAAAAATATATTCCCTAAATTAATAAGTCAGAGTCATTTCAAAATGATTAGTGTACTAGTACTCATTAAGTGATTTTTCAATGTCATGGAAAGAACTGCTATACTACTTTATCATAAGAATTGATATTTTAGGCTGGAGAGATAGCTAAGTGGTTAAGAACACTGGTTATTCTTGCAGAAGACGTGCCTTCAAATCCTAGCACCCACATGGCAGCTAACAACTGTCTGTAACTCCAATTCCAGGAGATCCAACAGCCTCTTCTGTCTTCCGCGGGCATTGCATGACATGGGTGCACTTACCTACATGCAGGCAATACACACATACACCAAAAATAAAAATAATAAAATAAAAATATTTTTTAAAAAAGAACTGATATTTTATTAGAATAACAAATCAGAACAAAAATTAAGAGGGTGATTAATAGTGATTTATCTAAAGAAATAGTTTTATGTAACAATATATTTAAATTTTTTTCTTGGAAATTTCTAGTGATTATTGTTAGTAAAGTAAATACTTTTTTTTACCTGAACTCATTAAAGTTAGATGTGTAAATATATGTATATGTGAATGTATTTATATTCATCTGTATGTATATGTTTAATTTCTGTTTACATACATTCAAATGATTATTGAAAATAATGCTAAAATTTACCAATAAGAAAACTATTTTATAATTGTATCAATTTAGCATTATTTCATAATTATATTCAGATGTCTATTCCATGTAATATATATGACTTACAGTGTAGAGGATACATGCATTATTGAATGAGAAATACACTTGGATCTCACTGTCCCCATTCAACTGGCATGTTATAGCCTATTGAAGCAGTAATGCTCATTTTAGTCTTGTAATATATTTAAGCAGAATTTCACATGAACACGATTTCTGTGCCCTCTGTGTAAACTCTGGGTTCATGACAACACTGCCCCTTCATGGCTATGGCAGTATTCTCATTTCTTGTTCCTGTCTTCTGACAAAATTTTCATAGTGGTCACTTTTGGTTTATAATTTTGATACCAATGCCCCACTTTCATTTCAGTGATTCTCTTTAATTCCTATTTGTGTTACACCTTACAATTAAAAAGCATGGAGTGCTGGACATGGTGGAATATGCCTTTAATTCCCACACTCAGGAGGAAAAGGCAGGCAGATCTCTATGAGATTGAGGCCAGCCTGGTCGACATAGTGACTTCTAGGCTAGCTGAGGTTACTGGGATATGCTGTCTCAAAAACATAGAATAAATAATAAATAAATAAATAAGTACAGCTCTGCAATTCTCATGTATTTCACATGTCAATTTCTAAAAAGTAAAATGCTTCAAACTCTAGAAAATTAATAAAACTTTTCATCACTTTTCAACAGCGAAAGGTTTCTACCCTTGGACCCAATAATCACTCTACCAGTGATCTGATGTGGTGGTGCATTCCACTAACCCCATGACCCAGGACAATGATGCAGGAGAGCTGAGACTCTGAGAACAACCTGGGCTACGTACTGAGAACTTGTCTAAAAAAATCATTAACAAGTAAATTAATGATTGTTCACAGTTCGTAAGTGCAGATATCTTATCTAGTGGGAGAAGGAATTTCGAACATGTATACATAAGTGTTCCTATACAAACTACATAGGATCTCTGCAAATCAGAGAAATTGTCAGATTCTAAAAAAACAGCTTGTAACCTGGAAAATGCTCTTCTAAAACCTATAAGTGGCCAGTGAATTGGTAAAAAATTATATAGTTACTTTAAGCATTTAACACAGCAGTAGAATACCACAATACACTTAGTATGCTAAAAGTAATTTCATTGTTAGTTACACATGTGGGGAACTGCCCCCGCCTGCGGGGACCCTGTACAGGTAAAGCTCGAGGGGGACCACTCCCTGAAAGGAAAAATGGGCAAGAAAGAGGAGAGGGAGCCCAAGCAAGTCCACTTGTCAAGGGTTGCTTTATTGTATTGCAAGCTTTCCTTATATACAGTTTGTATTTAGAAGGGGTTGAAGAAGTTGGTCAAAGTTTACAGCATTCTTATGGGTATGGGGGCAGACTGAGCAATTCAGCAACGTGACTGACCACCAGGTGTTCCAAGAGATTACTGCATGAGGCTGGCCAACTCACCTCCCCGCAAGGCTCGAGTTGTCCTGGTGGCTCCCTCTGACCGACAAATCTCGGTGGAACCTCCAAATGTAGGAGAGAAAAACCACAGAGGACAAGCCAGCCTTCGGGTTGCAACAGCAAGAGGTTTATTTAGTACACAGGTACCTGTGGGCACAAAGTCTCCTCGGGGGACTTGCGCGCCTCAGGTCGGGTTTGTGGAACTTTTATAGAGCAGAAGCGGGATACAGAAGCAGAAACGCGGTTATTGGTTCGTTTAAACTATTACAAAATGCTACAGGGAGAGCGGGGAGCTTACTTATCACTAAGCCAGATGTCCCAACCATAAAACTTACTTATCAGTGAGTTGGAGATGTCTCGGCCATAAAACTTACTTATCAGGAGGCCAGATGTCTCAGCCATAAAACTTACTTATCAGTGAGCCAGATGTCTCAGCCATAAAACTTGCTTATCAGTGAGTTGGAATTCCTGACCGGTACGCGACCTGCCTGAGAGACTTCATGGCTCCTGACTTTTATAATTTTTAATTTTTTTTTTTTCATTCCTCCCTTTTTCTTTGTAACTATGGAGGGGCATCTTTCCCTCCTTTATAGATTATCAGGGTCACTTGTTTCTAGGGCTTGGTATTGGCTAGTCAGCACTAAGGTTTGGACAGCTGACAGCCTTTCTCGCATGAATTGAGTCAACCGGTTGAAAATGCAGGGGCCTATTGTTAGGATTAAGAGTAGGGACACCAGGGGCCCAACAAGGGGTAGAAGGTAAGGCAGAATTCCGTTCCACATGCCCCACATGGGGTTAGCAAAAAGCTCCTGTCGCCTTTTTTCTAGTTCCTCTTGGTGTTTTTTAATCCGATCTCTGACGATCCCGGACTTGTTGGTATAAAAACAGCATTTTTCCTGTAATGCTAAACAGATACCTCCCTTGTCTGCTGTTAGTAGATCAAGTCCCCGTCTATTCTGTAAGACAACCTCGGCTAGTGAGTCTACCTGGTCCTGAAGATCTTGTACAGACCGATAGACCATATTTACATCATTAATTAACTGTTGAGATAATTTGTTGTAAGTGTCTATTGCCACTCCTACACCAGCTGAGCCCGTAGCGAGGGCTCCTGAGATACCCAGTCCAATAAGCAATGGAATAAACTGGACCGCTCGTTTGTGCCTAGGAACGAATGTGTCAAAGCTAGGCAAAGGCACAGGCTCATCTCCTGGAATTATGTCTATGTCTGGCAAGAGCAATGCAGGGGCACATGAACCAGTCCAGTTAGTGGGTAAATAAGGATAGGCCATGTTATTTCCACATACATAAATTTTCCCCCCCCTAAACAGCCTGTCTGAGAGGTGTTTATAAACCTAGAGCAGGTAGTAAACATAGCTAATCCGAGGTCTACATCAAAGGAATTATTTTGAAAGGGACTAAAAAGGCAAATAGATGTGTTGAAGTAGCGAGGCTGGACCTTAAAAGGCGTGGTATAGCTACAAATATCCGGAGAGGGGAGTATATTAGACTCGTTACTTAAAGGTAAAACTAGAGGCCATGAAATTCCTAATGCGAGACACAGCCAACAATCCTCTGCCAGGGAAGGGTTGGAGCGGTTTAGGGCATCATGGGTGGCAGTAAGGATCTCCATGGTCTGAGGGTCTAAATTAAGGCCTCTAGGTTTGGGTAGCAATAGTGGATGGTAATGAAGGCGGGGCAAGAGAGACTCCCTTTGTTTTTGCAACACAGTTTGGACATAATTTTCTTTAACCTGGTCTGTAGGGCCCCCTCCATCTGATATGTGAATCGGAGCTTGTTGAGGCCAGCATGCCTTTTGTCCAGGTTCTACATAGCAGCCTGCACTAAGGGTTTTTGAATTATAACTTTCTGGTCCTATTACCTGAGTGTTAAGACTCCAATCTGAGCCCCCAGAGGCCTTTTTATAAGAAATGGCCGTAGAATAAAAATACAGGATGTTATTGAACCGACATTCAGTAAAAGAAGCATAACAGGATGAGTGCATAGCTTCGACGAAATTACAATCAGAGGGGCACTCACCATTAGCTGGTGGTAAGATAGGTTTAGGCTTAGACACACATTTCCAGCTCTGTTGGTGCTGCTGAGTAGGTGTACCATGAATACCAAGATATGCAGTCCTGTCTCCACAATCTACAGACCGGAAATATGTACCGGGTGGGGCTTCCCAATGGCCACCTCTACATTCACAAGGGGGACCATACTGAGTTAGCATAAACCTGGTAGCATTAAATGGCTGAAGGCCACCATCTATGTTCTTAACTAAATGTATAAAGATACAAGCCCACCAGGGACTCGGGTGAATTATGGGCCACATGATGTGAAATTTGAGCTTAGCTCTTTATAAATTGTAATACCGACCAGCGTCATGATGAAAATGCAGCAAACAACAAAGGTGATGACAACAAAAGTGGTCAGTATTTTCAATCTTGAGCAATTCATGGAGCCGGCACCTGTGGGTTTAAAAAGAAAAATTTTTCTTTCTCAAGGAGTCTTATCTTCCCTGGAAGAACTATTATTAATTTGTTTTACTAGTCTCTCTGGGAGGACTAAAGGCCTTTATAAGACGCTCTGGCAGCCACCGAACATTTCCTGCTTTAGTGTTATACACGCAGGCTGATCCCTAGCCCCAGATGAGGACGGGATCGGGGCCCTGCCACTTAGAAGTCAGGGGATCTTTCCATAGAGCCTGGGCATAACCATAGCTGGTTTGGGGGTGCCACAGGCGATCTGCAGCTGTTCTTTCTTGTTTATCCAAGATTAAGTAGTTGAGAACAAAGAGGGCATGATTTAATAAATTCTTTTGGTTACCAGGGAGTGGGAACAGGGCACCTCCAGTTGACTGTAATTTTGAATTATGTCTATGTCTGGCAAAAGCAATGTGGGGGCACATGAACCAGTCCAATTAGTGGGTAAATAAGGATAGGCCATGTTATTTCCACATACATAAATTCTTCCCCCCCCAAACAGCCTGTCTGAGAGGTCTTGACGAACCTAGAGCAGGTAGTAAACATAGCTAATCCAAGATCTACATCAAAGGAATTATTTTGAAAAGGATTAAAAAGACAAACAGATGTATTGAAGTAACGGGGCAGGACCTTAAAAGGCATGGAATAGCTACAGTTATCTGGAGAGCTGGGAACATGGGTGCGGCATTGGAGGTAGGTCTGATGTAAGGCACTGTCTCCAATAAAGGAACCGAGAAGGCCAAATAAGCACTATCGGTATACAGATTAAAAGGGGACTGTGTTATTTTTTGGAACACAGCAAGAATAGCTTGGATCTCAACTAATTGTGCAGAGCTAAAGGGTGTAGATATTTGACTTATTTGTCCATTGATCATGAAGGCTGCTCGGCCATTGGAGGAGCCATCAGTGAATACCAAATGTGCTTTAGGTATGGGGTCTCTTTTAGTTACTTTAGGAAATATAACAGGGACTGGGCTTTTGTTAAAGAATTGGACCAATTTATTTTGGGGGTAATGATTATCTAATTTTCCCTGAAATGTAACACTATTAATAGAGCACTCATCGAGGTGTCTGTTAGCCAGGAAACCTGGGAAGGACTGTAGGGGGGTATTATAACATCTGGTTCCTTCCCAAACAGTTTGCAGGATTGTTCCCTGCCGAGCTGAAGAATTTTCACTACCAATGAAGGATAAGTGGGAAGGACCTTGTTGGTTGTAGAAGGTAGATGTACCCAATAAAGAGGATTGTCTCCTTGCCAGAAGACAGCAGTGGGAAAAAGGGGGGTGGCGAAAACTATGAGAAGCAATTGCTTAGTGGGAGGAAAATAATCAATAGTTTGTTGAGAAATGGCCTCCTCCACTAGGGCAAGAGCCTTAGAAGCCTCTGGTGTAAATTGACGGGGAGAGGTGGGGTCAGCACTTCCCTTGAGTATATCAAAGAGTGGTTTTAATTCTCCTGTGGTTAGTTTTAAGTAAGGCCGGAGCCAATTAATATCTCCTAAAAGGCGTTGGAAATCATTAAGTGTTTGGAGGGAATTTTTCTGAAGTTGTATTTTTTGAGAAACTATTTTATGAGGGAAAAGCTTGAAACCCAAAAAGAGCTGGGGAGGATTTAGTTGAATTTTATCTGGGGCGACTTGGAGACCCTGTTGGTGAAAGGCATGAATTAACTGCTGAGCAGCTGAGTATACTAGTTTAAGCTCGGGTCCTGCTAAGAGAACATCATCCATGTAATGGATAATATAAAGGGATGGGTATTGGAGCCGGAAAGGATGAACAATTTGAGCAACAAATTTTTGGCAAAGAGTGGGGCTATTAGCCATGCCTTGAGGTAGTACCCTCCATTGAAAACGAGGCATAGGTCCAATGAAATTAACAATGGGTAAACTGAAAGCAAAGCGTTTGCAATCCTCTGGATGGAGCGGAATAGAAAAAAAGGAATCCTTACTATCTATTATCACTTTATAATGTCCCTTGGGAATAGCTATGGGGGACGGTAGGCCAGGTTGCAATGCTCCCATGGGAACTATAGTTTTATTAATTTCTCTGAGAT